TTGACATCTCTGAAAAATCGATAGCTAGAGGTGGAGTCACGCATCGATCGATGAGAGACGGTGGCGAGCGGGGAGCGGGGAGCGGTGAGCGGGCGAACGCGTTCGCTATCGTTTTTTGAGAGATGTCAACAAACACACCATTTTGCATGCTGCCGAGTCCGGCCTTCCGCTCCTCCGTGCACTTATTGGCTCAGACGTTTTTCTGAATTCGGCCGATAATAATTACGATTTTGTAAAATTTTATATAACTTTTCCTCTCAGTTTAACCCAATCTACTATAATCTTTGGGATTGTCCATATCGAATCTGACACCCTGTATAGTATGTACGTCTGATCCATTATCATTTAATTCTAGTATGTCTCATATGTACGTTTTATTCAGTATTATTTAATTCTATACCAAGGTTTTATTCTGACTTAAACCTATTACGTTTAAGTTTATGTTACTTTCTATTAATATCTATAGTTGTTGATTAAAAATTGTTTTATTTATAATTTTTCGCTGAATTTCAGGAGAATTTTTTCTTCGCAAATAGGATACTAAATTATTGTTTATTACACATTCCAATGTTGCATACATTCTTACTACCTTGTGGTAAGAAATATTGTCATGGATTATTAAATAACAAATAGAATTAATTGTACTTGCTGCTGCATTTATTTAAAATTCCCAAACATTTTATCTATTTATTTAATGTCTATTGATAATGTGTTGTATATTAAGAAATTGTAAAGATTTCCATATTATTAATATAAAAAAGTCATAAACCAAAAATATGAATACAAAAGAATGTTGTCGCTGAACAAATAATAGCTTATTGTCTAATGGTACAAAATGTTGTAGACGTTTCGACTGTACTAAAGCTTCTTCAAGACGATTCTTTAAGTTAAACAGTAATTATAACAAAATAAATGTGAGAATAAACAAATAATAAACAGAAAACGGATTATAATTTAATAGAGTTAATGTAATATAAAGTGTAGAAAAAATAATTTTGTGGGTTAAAATACAAATTATAAATAGGAGCGATAAAAAGACATGGAAAAAAGACATTGTCGAGAGTATAAAATAAACATTGACAACCTACAAGAAACTTCAGTCGACAATCAAAACAGATGTTAATAAACTTTCCCATCCTTCCGAGAGAAAATTCATTAGTCTCCTAAATTCCGTGAAGCTGTGACGGTTCTATAACCTTATAGTCCATTTGATTGAGTGGTTCAGTGTATAACAGTCAAATATTCAGAAATAAAAGTGGTTCTGTAGATAAAACATAAAAGATACATTATAGTGACGAACGAAAATTAAACCAAGATGGTCAAACGGTTAGAGAAAATAGAAAAAGTGAAATTTTAATAAATCATAAAATCACTCACAATGAATAGTTAGATGAGGACAAAAGAAAGAAATGTAAGTGTCCGACAGCTTGCTAGTTAGCCTCTTACCTATTCTTATTAAGATTTGTGAGAGAGTGAGATCACGTGTAGGGTATAAAGGTAAATAAATATCGGACCTAGAAAGTGTATAAACAATATTCTAAATGCTTTTAAATTTAATATGTATAAAAGATGAGTTTACCGAGTAAATCAATATAATATATTTTTCTTACCATTTTCTAAGCATTTCTTACATTTTATTACCATTGAACAATAAACTATTATTTATTTAACGGCAACATCCTTTTCTATTCATTTTTTGGTCTTTGACTTCCTTAAATTTGTTTTTACGTATAACGAGCAAGACTTTATTATTTCCAAATTAATGTTTCGTTACTATTCCTTTAAGCTTATCCAGTACTCCCTCGGCCCACTTATCTATTTCGATCTGAAATATACGAGTATACTTTCTTAAATAAACGTGATTATCTAACAATAATGTTTAAACTTTAGAATAATAGGAATTTAGTTATAATTAAAAATGTTATACTATTTTAAATGTAAATATTTCTTCCTTTCATGCTTTGCTATTTATGTATACATGTATGTATAATTTCACAAATGTAACATAAGACTAAAAAATTTAAAAGAATAAAAGTATCATGAAATAAATTAAGCATTGTGAGATGCAACAGTTTGAAATATATGTGTCAATACATCCTTACAGTATCTGGTATTTTAATAAATGCTATTCGTAAATAAAACTAAGAGAAAACACTTTAAATATTAAAATTGTGTAAGAACATATAAAATTTGTTTTATAAATTGTAGTTTAAATTTACTTGCATGTAAAATGTATTAGCACTAAAAATATATGTATAACTGGCAGAGTGACATGTAAAGAACTTTGTCTTCTTTGTAAAAAAAAACTTGCTTGCTTTGTAAAAAATATATGTATAGCAGACAGTGGAGCAGGTTAGTGGAGATTATAAAAAATGTTTTGATCAATTAAATTTTTGTTTCGGCGATTTTTTAAGGCGATTAATTAGAAATTAGTTTAAAACTAATTCATATATTACGTTCTACACAAATTTGAAATGATATATTTTATTTTATTAATACTTATTTAGAATATTTAAAGAAATAACTATAATATTAGGAATATTGAAGGAAATCAATTTTATCATACCACAGCTCTTGGTCTGGCAGAGGCTAGAGGTTCTCCATTAATAGCCGGTATGCTAACAGCGACCAAGATTGCAATTACAGCGAAGAGTAAGATTATAGATTTCATATTTGCTTTCTCGTAGTAGTACAAAAATAAAATGTATTATGTCAAATTATGTATTTCTTGACTGACTGTTTGATGTGGTGAAATCGACTAATTTATAGGAAAACTTGCATCTAAATATTGGTGATAAAGTATATCAAGAATATAAAGTAGAAAACGTGCACTTTTGTAGTAATATATCAAGCATCATAAGATGTGCAATAGTTTGAAAAATATGCGAATATAAAAATAATAATTATTCCAAATCTTTATTACTACAGTACAATACATATAAATATGAAAAATCGTAATATTTAATCTTATATCGTGTGGCAGATATACTAAAAACAATCACACGCTACACCTTTTGAGTACTTTTAGATAAAAGTTCGATATTGTACGAATCGATGAAAAAAAAGACAATATTTCCTCCAAATATGGTTTATAATTAAAATATATCGTTTATGAATATGTATTAATAGTATACAAGTACATTCCATAATTAATACGAATTACTTATTATTCTCTATCAAATTGCAAACAAAGACTTCTTACAATATTTTATTACCTCATCAAATTTTCTATCTTGACATGTTGGCAACTTTCTTAATTAAATATTTGAGCACAAACAAATAATTGTATTATATGTACCTATATGTATATTAAAATAAATTTAATATTTTATTTGATTTTTATTGAACGTTATGCGATGTGTTTTACTTTCCGCAAAAATACATGCACGATTTTATCTGATGTAATAAAAACAGAATTTTATATGTTAGATTGTAAAAATATTTTTAGTGCAAGTATAAAGATATATTTTTACAGTAAACCTTGAAAGTATGATAAACGTTATAGACGTTTACTCTTTGGATTTTATCTTTGTCGTGATTAATTGAATACTTCTACATATAAACAAAAATATATAGAGGGAAAAATACATTTTTTTTATAAGCGGAAAGTTTGACTGAGTTGGCGATTAATGTTAAAACTTATTAATTATTGTGCCGAGAAATTTATTATTTATTATGTTTTATATCATTTGGCACCATATTTTAAAATATGCAAGAACGGGTAAGAAGTAAGAAACAATACAATCATGTTTTCTTTTATAATAAAAATGTCTCATAATTATAAAATAACATGTGTTTATTCTTTGTTTATTTCATTGTTACGAAAATTTTCTACGAAATTGTTATCAATTTTGTAGTTAATAGGTAAACTGAATTAGGTAAGGGCTAATTTTAAGGCTGCACGAAGATTTATAATATGTGAATATAATATATGCATATATGTGTATAATATACATACATGTATGTATAATAATATTAAAACTTTCCTCGGATGCGTTAAATAAATATATTATAATCATATAAATTCAATTTGTTAGGTGTAAACTTAATTATCCGCCTTTAAAAAAAAATGTATTGTTTCTTGACAAAAAACGTTTCAAAATGGTTTGTTGGTTCACTTCAGATGCATCTGTAAGCTCTAATTGAATTTGACATTATATTTTTTTTCAAAAGCAGTTCCAATTCTTCATCTTTCACTTTTTTCGGTTGTCTAGGGCGTTTTTCATCGTTCAGATTGCAATTGCCATCACGAAACTTTTGAAATTACTTTTTACATGTACTATAAGACACAGCAGTTTTCTCTGATATCGCATTGAAATTGAGAACAGTAAGATCTAGTGTATCTTATTGTATTATATGTATGTACGTCTGATCCATTATCATTTAATTCTAGTATGTCTCATATGTACGTTTTATTCAGTATTATTTAATTCTTTATCAAGGTTTTATTCTGACTTAAACCTATTACGTTTAAGTTTATGTTACTTTCTATTAATATCTATAGTTGTTGATTAAAAATTTTTTTATTTATAATTTTTCGCTGAATTTCAGGAGAATTTTTTCTTCGCAAATAGATACTAAATTATTGTTTATTACACATTCCAATGTTGCATACATTCTTGCTACCTTGTGGTAAGAAATATTGTCGTGGATTATTAAATAACAAACAGAATTAATTGTACTTGCTGCTGCATTTATTAAAAATTCCCAAACATTTTATCTATTTATTTAATGTCTATTGATAATGTGTTGTATATTAAGAAATTGTAAAGATTTCCATGTTATTAATATAAGAAAGTCATAAACCAAAAATACGAATACAAAAGAATGTTGTCGCTGAACAAATAATAGCTTATTGTCTAATTGTACAAAATGTTGTAGACGTTTCGACTGTACTAAAGCTTCTTCAAGACGATTCATTAAGTTAAACAGTAATTATAATAAAATAAATGTGAGAATAAACAAATAATAAACAGAAAACGGATTATAATTTAATAGAGTTAATGTAATATAAAGTGTAGAAAAAATAATTTTGTTGTGGGTTAAAAATACAAATTATAAATAGGAGCAATAAAAAGACATGGAAAAAAAACATTGTCGAGAGTATAAAATAAACATTGACAACCTACAAGAAACTTCAGTCGACAATCAAAACAGATGTTAATAAACTTTCCCATCCTTCCGAGATAAAATTCATTAGTCCCCTAAATTCCGTGAAGCTGTGACGGTTTTATAACCTTATAGCCCATTTGATTGAGTGGTTCAGTGTATAACAGTCAAATATTCAGAAATAAAAGTGGTTCTGTAGATAAAACATAAAAGATACATTATAGTGACGAACGAAAATTAAACCAAGATAGTCAAACGGTTAGAGAAAATAGAAAAAGTGAAATTTTAATAAACCATAAAATCACTCACAATGAATAGTTCGATGAGGACAAAAGAAAGAAATGTAAGTGTCCGACAGCTTGCTAGTTAGCCTCTTACCTATTCTTATTAAGATTTGTGAGAGAGTGAGATCACGTGTAGGGTATAAAGGTAAATAAATATCGGACCTAGAAAGTATAAACAATATTCTAAATGCTTTTAAATTTAATATGTATAAAAGATGAGTGAGTTTACCGAGTAAATCAATATAATATATTTTTCTTACCATTTTCTAAGCATTTCTTACATTTTATTACCATTGAACAATAAACTATTATTTATTTAACGGCAACATCCTTTTGTATTCATTTTTTGGTCTTTGACTTCCTTAAATTTGTTTTTACGTATAACGAGCAAGACTTTATTATTTCCAAATTAATGTTTTAATGCTCCTTTAAGGTTCGCCAATACTCCCTCGGCCCACTTATCCAGGTCCACCTGAAATATACGAGTATACTTTCTTAAATAAACGTGATCACCTAACGATAATGTTTAAACTTTAGAATAATAGGAGTTTAGTTATAATTAAAAAATGTTATACTATTTTAAATATAAATATTTCTTCCTTCCATGCTTTGCTATTTATGTATACATGTATGTATAATTTCACAAATGTAACGTAAGACTAAAAAATTTAAAAGAATAAAAGTATCATGAAATAAATTAAGCATTGTGAGATGCAACAGTTTGAAATATATGTGTCAATACATTCTTACAGTATCTGGTATTTTAATAAATACTATTTGTAAATAAAACTAAGAGAAAACCTTTTAAATATTAAAATTGTGTAAGAACATATAAAATTTGTTTTATAAATTGTAGTTTAAATTTACTTGCATGTAAATTCGTATTAGCACTAAAAATATATGTATAACTGGCAGAGTGACATGTAAAGAACTTTGTCTTTTTTGTAAAAAAGACTTGCTTGCTTTGTAAAAAATATATGTATAACAGACAGTGGAGCAGGTTAGTGGGGATTATAAAAAAATGTTTCGATCAATAAAATTTTTGTTTCGGCGATTTTTTAAGGCGATTAATTAGAAATTAGTTTAAAATTAATTCATATTTTACGTTCTACACAAATGTGAAATGATATACTTTATTTTATTAATGCTTATTTAGAATATTAAAAGATATAACTATAATATTACTAATATCGTAGGAAATCAATTTTACCATACCTTAGCAAATGGTCTGGCAGAGGCTAGAGGTTCTCCATTAATA